TGGTCATGGGGACTGTCCCATAGCCTCCAGTCATCCCGCTGCTGGCACCGTAGCTTGACTGCTGAGGGGTGGAGGCAGAGGGATAACCCCTGGGAGACAAACTGCTGGAGTTTCGAATGTAACCTGGAGGCAAAATGAAAATGTTGGGTCAGATCTGAGCTTCATTAGTATCAGTAACAGAAAGTTGGAATAATTTATAGCCCATTCTGCTTACCTTGGCTGCTCTGTCCCGGCTCCCCGATGCTGACACCTAACTGAGAAGGGTAGGAGCCCAGGCCCATGACACTACCATGAGCTGGGGAGCTGGGCAGCGCCTGTAACTGACTGTGAGGACGGGGAACACTGTAGAGTGCCTCAGCAATGTCAGCTGCACGTTTCAGGAGCATGTCCTACAGATCAGATGCAATAATCAACAAAGGGGCAATCTAGAGGTCCAGATACTGTGGCCTATCAATATCTATGCAAGCATTAAACAATCTCTAAAACTGAGAATTTGTAAGCTATACCCAGTTCAGTCATTAACAGCAAGTTACATTTACTGTACTAACAGAACTGCTGACAATTTTCTGAAGCTGTGACAAACTCGATGTTGTTCCGTGAGACCAAAAACTGCTCCTGCCTTTTTGTTTCAGTATGTCTGTCTCTTAATTTCTCAATATTTTCTCAGTCTCTACTTCTTAACATTCCCCTACTCATTGTGGGATAAATTTATATCATTTACATTTGATTCTTTCTCTTCACCCTGTCTGTTTAGCTCCTTTGACATAATATCAAATATGGTTCTGATACCTGATTACTGTGTGGATTTCCGTACAGGGCCTCCACAAGATCTGCTGCTCTTTTCAGGAGGATCTCCTAAAAAGAATGTTTTAATAATATTGCAGCATGCACAGTTTCTTGAAAAATAATCATGAGCATGAAAAGGTCATTTCTTTAGGAGTCTCTCACCTTGGCTAGTTTCTCCGGGTCACCAGGATGTCGAGGAATGACCTTCTGAAGACGCTGGAAACCATAGTCTATAGTTGGCTCATTAAGGGCTAAAAAATTGAAAGAAACATATAGTACATCAAACCTCAGTCACAGTTCATTCAAAACCTCATAGTTAAAATGCCTCAAAATGTGGATAACATGGACGAAAAGGGGCACAATGTGTTGTATCAGTACCTGTGTAGATAAAGCGTCCAGGTGCTCCTTTGCAGAATTGCTTAGATTTATAAGAAAGTGTGACCTCCACGACACCAGGGATGTGCCGAGGAGGTGTCTGGACACGGATAGCATGCGGTGTGATCAGCTGAGGATGCAGCACAGAAATCATGTCAGAAAACAGCTAAACTGCCCCCCCAGCTTGTAATATTTAGCAGAATACTGTGGAAAGATACATTTTTGTAGGCTGCCCATAAATCATCTACATAATGAGACAAGCCATATGCTGTTCTATTTCATTTCAGATTTTGCTTTAGACTGTACCATCATTAGTGAAATGTTTTGAAGACAATTCCTACCTCACTCCACACCAGCATGCTGCCAAACACCACCTGCAGCCCATCAAAAAAGTTCTCCCCAATAACAATGACCATGGCCCCACCAGTGGTCCAGCCCTCACTGGGACTGATGGCTTTGATACATGGGGTAGCTAGAGAGGAGAGCGAAGCGAGATTTACTCTGAGGGTTTCAATGCAGGACACACAAGAACTGGTCAAACAGAGGACAGAGCATGTTTGTAGTGGGTGTCTCAGGAGGATGGTGATAAAGGTGCTCTTTAGTTTGGGGGGGGTGTAAAAACAAATTTCAAGTCAATATTCAAAGCTAAACAAAAAAGTGAAATTAAGATTCACAGTTTCATAGATACTTCAACTTAATTTTATTCATTGTTTCATTTTTAATGCCACAGATAGAAACATGAAGAACAGGATGTTAGATTGGAAAAGATCAATTTCGAGAAGGTCAAGAAATCTGTCAGTCTGAAAACAATGCAATCATATACAACAGTGATAAAACTGCTGAAATACAGGGTGCACAGACACAGGCATGTGGTGTATATAAAATATTTATTAGCAAAGTCATTACAGCTGTAGGATAAATGTAGTGTAGTAGTAAAATAAGATGGTGAAATGTAGTGGAGAGGTAGTACATAGTATCATAAAATGGAAATACACAAGTAAAGTACAAGTATCTGTTAAGCGTACTTATGTACAGTACTTAGTAATTTTCCACCACAGCTCGGGCAAATGTGAGATGTATTTCTTGACTCAGAGATAAATGTGACCTATTTGGTAAGAAACTTTACCTTATATTGCATTTTCTTGCTTCAAGAATTGCATTTAAGATAAGGTACTTTCTGTGTTTTAGGAGAGAACACATATCTAATTAACACATTAATTAGCTCAGTTAATGACCTTTGTAGCTTCACTGGTTATGTTTGATATATCATGGTGATTATGGATGAACATTAGGCAACACAGGTACCTGCTGGAATGCTCCGGAGGACTATGTGCTATGTTTTTGAGTGTGAATGATGAAGTAGACTTGTAACGAAACGAAAAGACAAATGGGGTGTGACACTGTCGTACTGTAGTATCAGTGTCTTACCATATTCCATGGTGTTCTCAACAGACTCGCCTGGCTCCAGTCTGCGGGCTCTCCGACCGTGTTTTGAGTTGTTGTGCACAAACATATTATCAGACACTGCTAGGACGTGGCCATCTACACTCACCGTGCTGGACAAGACCACCTAAAAGAGAGGATAAGAGCCAAGGGGAAGATACATGACTGTAGATGCATAAGTCGGACAGCACGCTGAGAGTCCCGGCCTCCGGTTACAGCAGCAAAATCCCAGAGCAACAATTTGTTTCAGCGTCCAGGCGATAGTAATATTTCTCAATCAGTAATGTGACATCTTTGGGATCTCATAACATGTCTGCATTCTGGCGATCACACTGCTCATACACCCCTTCACTCCTCCATCAGTTTTCCATATGGCCTCTCCACTGCTTCTTGCCTAACTTTTTGATTCATAGAGCATGCAACAAGTTCACTGTTGTCTCCTCTTGATCCTTCAATGACACCAAACATATGGATCAAATCTCCCATTTTAGCTGGCTGTTAAAGTATTGCATGATATATAGTGGCCCTAATTTGATTTTCTGGCTGCAGCATGTGTGTGTCCCTCCCAGCATCTGCCTGGCAGGGACAGCACACATATAATTAATGAGAGGATATTGTACATTTTTCTCTTTGGATACGAGTGTTGATGTGATACTATTTCTGAGAGCGATAATAAATTCAAATGTGTGTTTATCAGCATATTTTTGAGAGTAAGAGGCGGTCAATGAGAAAAATTCATTTTTAATGAAATACTGCGGCAAACTACAAATATTTTATGATATGCATGTTTAGGAAATTAGACAGCAAAAATAAACCTTGAACTCCTTTCAAAATAAACATATGGCAGTAATTTTGCAGGTGAAGGAACATAAAAAGGAAAAGGAGAGAAAGCATATGTGCTATAAGTGGTGGAAAGGGAGCGACCTAAAGAGAAATAACTGTAAATTATTGATCAAGCAGCAGACTCCTGTTCAGCTTCAATCACCTTTTAACCCAGAGATTAGAGTCTTGGAGTGCCCGTGTACTCATAACTTCTCAGCATGTGTCACATTACAGGAGTTAAAGCAAACACGGTAGAAGACGGAGGGAGCATGAAGAAGAGGAAGGAACAGAGGGAGATGGTTGCTGGGCAAAGGAGAATGCCAGACAAGGGCTGCTGGTGCTGAAAGACGGCAGAGGAAGTGAGGCGGGAGTGTCCCTTGTGACCACTTCCTGGGTCACGGAGCATGACCTCCTCCATCTGGAGCCAATCACTCAATTCTTGACAACTTCCTGAAACACCTCAACCTATTTCCTGGACCCCAACAACCAAGTCTCCCACATATCTAACTCCTTGCATTTGTCTTTCCATCTGTCTCTCTCTTATTGATTTTTAACTTTCACCTTTAACTCCCTGCTCTATATCTTCCAGTGGAAAAGTTTTACTATGTGAGAGTTTGTAACATAAACTCCACTTACAACACACTGGACAAGAAATGAATTATTAAATTGTTCTATTTGGATGGAGGTGCATGATGGGGGTATGTTTTGCATGACTGTAAAATCTTTTTTTAAACAATTTGGTTCAGCCCTTAGTTTCATTTGCACACAAGCACACATACGCACTTTTCCCATTTTCTTGTACCTGAAATCTCCTCATATCCCTTGGATTTCCTGCCGTCTTCAGACAATTCTGGTTACATTTCAGGAAAAACTTCAAGAAAAACCTGCAAAAGAAAATAAGAGGGCACATGTTTGTACATCAGCAACTAAGAAAACACATGAAATAACCATGTATATGATTATTTGCAACTCCACAATGCACTAGCAGTCAAAGGAGATGTTCATTATTTTTCAGAGACATGTCTTGTGGATGGTGTGTGCATGTCTGTTTGCATTATGCAATTACATCTCTGACATCAATCCCAGCTGTTTAGCTTAGCTTAGTATTAAAGTCTGTGTTATTATATTTTAAATCAAGTGATGAGAATTTGAAGCACAGTCCAGCAAAAGGCACTGCTGCGTTTCAAAGTAAACTGGAGACAGTGATGTATGCCAGGGAACTCAAGGGACTGTAGTATCCCACAATGCTGTATTTGAACCCCCACTTGGGAATGGAGAGGGAAACGAAGTAGAGACAACTACAGAGAAAGTGAAATGAGAAGGTGGAAAGAGGACGATAGCGACAGAGGCACAGGCACTGGTATGGACATGAATTTTGTTTTCAGGAATATGTGTCTCATTATGTATGTGAGTTTACTTTAGAGGGTGACTGTGGAGGCCGAGAGAAGGAGAACGAGAGGGAGGGGGGTGCTGATAGCCTCTGCTACACCAAAGAAAACCTGAGAGAAAGGTGGAATAAATCGGAGAGAGGGAGACTATGGAGAGAGACTCCAAATCCCAGGTGTACACAGTTCAGCAACACAGCCCGCTGCCATAGCAACGCAGCTCTGCCGCAATCCCAAAGTCCCCATGCTGAGAGGCAAAGACAGCGATGGAAAGAGAAGGCAACAACAAGAACACATTCCATCACTGAACTACATCGAGGAGGGTGGAAAAAGACTTGCGATGCAAGGAAATACACAAGGCAGTATATAAACTGTATATAAAGTAAATGTATGTATATATAGAAAGCAGGTGCAGAAGGTTGAGAAGATAAATCTTATGGAGAAGAGAAATTAGGAGGAAAACATCACAAAAATGTGCTGGGAAAAGATGCAGGGCTGTGATCATTTTTATAGCAACTGGCAAATATATAGAGCTCAAAACAGCTGTCCACCTCACTCTTAGTGAACACAGCTCTGACTTGCCAATGAAAAACACATCAATTAATGGTCCAATTAAGCAAACAACAACAGTGCAGAAGAAAAATGCTGCAGAGAGAGACAGCGGTTTTGGGCGTCATGTGTAGCTCCAGTCCCACCCACACTGTGCAAATATAAGTCATCTTAATGGAGAGCAGTTGTTTGGAGAGGAACTTCATATTGGCCCCACAGCCCCGAACACTCCCATTGAACATTAACCTCTCCCTCATTCTGTCAGCTTTTGTTCACTATTCTATCACTTGCTTCAGCTTCCTCCCTTGTGAACAGGACCTGGCTTGCAACTACTGTAGCTCTTAGTTTCAACATTGTGTCCAATATTTCTTGATTTGAGCTGTTTCGTCAGAGGACAATTAATATTGTTGTTGGCACAGCGTGATTATGATTTATCAGTGAGGGCCCAGACCTCAAGCCTCAAAGCTGCACTAGACCTCATTTTGGGGTGGAGACTTGTAAAGGGCACATCTGCACCTCTCTTATTTCGTCATTCCATTTCTTTCCTTGTTGATATCTGACTTTGTTACCCTTTCTTACCTCTGCCTGCTGGACACCATGACAGAAGTTAAACCGGATTTTAAATCACCACATATAAAGTACATTGAATAAGGAAAGCTTTAAAGTTTGTTTCCTGCCTTTGAAAAGGAATCATTTTAAAAGTTATAGTAATTTACACTACCAGCCAAAGGTCTGGACACACTTTCTCATTGAATTGTTTGGGAACCTAAGCCCAAGCTTTTCACTGGTAGTGTTTAAAAAGTTAATTCACAACAATGCAGGAACCACATTTCTGCTTTAAGCTGTGGTTTGGTAGCATCGGTTTCCTTGCCACTTACTACTTTGTGGTCACTTAATCTAACCAGCAGTCATCACTCATTTGAATCACTAACATGATAAATCTCTACAGCGGTGATGCTTCAGATAGCAACATCACAACCCTAATTGAGAGGTTGTCTACATCCGTCTCTGTCTTTGTGCATTTTCTGAGGGTTCTTGACCTTGTTTGTTGACTTCTTCTCATCATTCATTGTTTGCATGACACCAGATGCCTCACTCACAAACGCACAGGAACACACATTCACGTACATGCTTGCATGCGCGCTCTAATACACTAAAACCCCAAAATTTGCCCCCCACCCACCCAAAAACCCATTGAGTCAACTTTTCACCCCCCTCAGTTTGGACGCACACAGCTGCAAATGCTGAAATTAAAGCGAGACATTGACGCATATATTAGCATGCATTAGCCGCTTCCCCCTGCCCACTTAACATGCAAATCTCCCAGTCCCGTCGCCTCGCACCTTCTGCCACACATTCATTTGCTGAATTATAATTAGACTAATCTTGCATAATTAATAAGAAGTCGAGGGTCCTCTGTTTTTTATCCCTTCCTCTATTGTGGTTGCAAAAGTTTAATATTGCTGTTGTTTGTTTTTGTTTTGGTAATGTAATACACCCACACACCTCCCCATCCACAGGGAAGGGATAAGGGGAAAGCAAAGAACTGGAGGTGATCATCATGTCATGGGGAAATTGCAGAGGAAAGCTATTTTCAAAAGAGCTCCACTAGTTTTACCATGTTTATATTTAATGTACGCCTTGTTCTGCACATAAACAGAATATTCTGTCCAATGAAGCAGGTGTACAGTGGAGTCTGATTAAAACTGGCAAGTGAGGAGCGCAGTGCAAATAAAATTGTGTTAAATTTAAACTGTCATACATATCTGTAATAATAAATAGTTTTGTTTAATTGCCCACAAGTGTATTTTGTAAAGCAGACCAACAAAAGCAGCATTTTTTTATTACAGAAAAAGACAATCTTCATGTGGCATTAAATTTCTAACAAGTATGACATCAAAACTAGCTATTTCATATTTATGGCATAATCAAAAATAATTGAATTTCACATAGTCTGCTGTGGTTAGTGATGGAAATAAAGTTTTATTTTCTGCAACCTCTACCCTCCACAGACATACTTAAAACAGGAAACACAAACAAAACATAGACCCAGGTCTTAAACCCTGAGATCATTTTCCACTGTGGCACCACAGGGAGCCTGGTTTTTTTTCTTTTCTGTCTTCACTTCTCTATCTCTTTCAAGGCCACTAGTCCCTTTTGTCTGCATCAGCTCCAGTTCCCAAGACTAAACACAGGCTTCACAGTATAAGGTAGTGGTGACAACTTGCTTAACTAAAACTAGTTCAACAACCAGCCAGCCAGTCATGACACTTGAAACAAAAACAAAGATGCAATTTGTGTAGTATTGTTCAGTGATGTGGATGCTCAGTTTCACATTTCTCAGTCTATGTGGCATCTGTTACATAGTGTTACTCACTATGTTTTACATATGGACTTAATCACAAAGCAAGCACCAAGCAGCACAGGACCTCTAACAAAAATTTTCATAGGCATTCATCAGCTCTAATCACTGTTGACATAAACTGCCTTTTCACAAAGACAAACACATGGCATTCTGTGCACACTGTAAACAGAAGTTTGCTGGTAGCGGTGGCTGTTGAAGCATGTGATGCAAAATATTTAATGCAGAGTTCAAGTTAGTTAGCGGTACAGCCTCAGAAACCTCTCCTCCTTTCATGGGGCTGGCTTTGGCCTTCAAATTGTAGGTTAGTACGCTAGATTTATTTCTGAATACAAAAACACTGGAGGAGAAAATTTAAGGAAAAGAATGAGGAGGAGGAAATTGTCATCATTTTTGTTCAGCAGATGTGGATACTCTTCTTCTCAGACAGAAAAAAAGAGCTGATCCTCTTCATACATGCAACCCCTGATCCACTAAGAGATAGAGGGTATAGATAATACAAAGAAACTGCGCAGGTGAAGAAGGGAAGAGGCAGAGAGGGAGAATGCTGATGTTCTGTATCAGGGCCATCACTCATCAGACATCCCCTCCATCACCCCACCACCACCACCTTGAAAAAACAAAACAGTGTCCTGACATTGTGGTGGTGGGGGAGCTGAGAGGAGGGCAGAGAGTGAGGGAGGGAGGAAAATTAGGAAACCAGATGTGAAGCATTAAAACATACTGACATGGTGTGGGCCTTCCTCTGCCACACTCACACACAGAGAGCACTAACTCATACAGCAGACCCACATACATGTACCTATGCATGCATACAGTATGTCACACAGGGCAAACAACACACATGCATGAGTTCGCACAAAAATACTGACTTGAAAAGGTGTGCACAATCAGTCGTGCAAAATTATACACAGTAGCAAAAAAGTCTGAAAGTCATATGCATGCGCTAGGTTATTTTTAATAAAACGTATTAGCAATTGGCCAAAAAATGCTGCTGTGTATGGCTAGGAGGTGGGATTTAGATAGACCAGTGTTGACCTAAGAATGTTTCATGCCAAGGCACAAATCTACAGATGGGTTGTCATGCATCAGTGTAAGGATACGCATCCAATTAGTACACATACATGGGCTGAGGAATGGCTGGGGGGAGAGATGGAGGTGTTTTGTTTTCCTCCATTGGGAGAGCTGTGTTTGGGCCACAGAGTGGGGATGTAAAGGGGGGGATAGTAATAAATACCCCTGGACCCAGGTCCCCTGGCAGACTGGAAGCTAGACTGGTCACCAAGGTTAACACCCGGGGCACATGACCTTTGACACTGCTAATGGGGCACAGAAAACCCTCCACGAACTGATACCCCCCGTGTCGCATACCACCACAGGACCTTTCACACCAGTCCTTCCAGTTTTTCCTCTTAAAACACACAGGGAAATCTCTCTGGCATCAGCTTCACTCACCTTTCACCAGAAAACCTCAAGCAGCCAAACTGACTCCATGAGGTCTCCTCTCCCTTTTTGCTAACAGTTTTGTTTAATTGCATACAGCTGTAATTTTCTTGGGTTTTACAAGATTTATCTATCTATTAGCAGA